GCCTGCCTCCTCTCTTCTTATGGGCTTCCGAAGGCAACGTTAGGCATTTTGGCTCGGCTTCAAACGCTCCCCAGAGCCTCACCGCAGCCTTGCCCTCTTCTCGGCAGCTGGTTGAATGCCAGCATTGGTGTGAAGCCCATCCAAGTCTCGCTGTTGAATCCCAGGAAGTTGTCAAGGTTCAACCGGCAAACCCTCGAGATGAAAAGGGGTCGGCGGCACCCGGGCGGAGCCCTTACAATATATATACGGACAATTACGGTACTTCTCGGAACTGCACCGGACAAATTGCAGCTCCATGAAGTGGAGTTGGGTGCTTCATGTGGTGCCCCCAGTCACATCCGGTAATGGGACTCAAAACCCACTCCGACATGGAACTGTTATCCACTTTGTTCGATCCTCCGATTGGTCACAGATCACAATTGACTGACCACGAAAAACCGGGCCAACTGTCAGGTGCCTTCCGGATGCCTTCCGTCCAGGTGACAGGCGAAGGATGGGTTTCTGATTGAGGAAGCCCTGCAGCTTTTCGTCTCAGTCTCTTAACACCACCAACCGGGTGCATCAAACCAACACCACCAACCGGCACCGGACACTCCAACCGCCGCGCGCACCGTTGGCGCGCCCGTTCCGACCTTGGCCTGGAAGGCCGAGGGATACCTGGCGCGGCCGAAATGGCAGCATCGAGTGATCCCCGGGTTGTCTCAAGTCCTTTTTCGACCCCAAAAAACAGTGAAGGGAGCCGGATGTTTTTGAACATCCACTCGTGCACCGGTGACGGTGAAAAGAAGAAAACAAAACCAACCAATTGAGATGTTGAAATGGAACAAATAGAGCTGTTCATGAGCTGTCCATGATCCATTGGATGGGTCTACAAAAAAACAACTTGGAACTTCTGAAATCACAAGATGTTCATAGATTAGCTCCTCCACTCTTATCCTCAACTGCCGCCTGGGGAACCCCCCCAGTCGCGACTTGTGCTCGTGCTCGCTCGCGCCGCTCGTGACGTTTTCATCGCTTTTTTCGGGCACCAGGCACCTTGACATGAAGGCATTGAGGAGATCATGGTCCTTCACCGCGAAGTCGAGGCCGCCCACATAGATCTCAAGCAGCGCGTCTTCATTGGCAGAACGGCGGAAGCGAGGGTTTCCAGAACGGGAGGTCCAACCGCTGGAGTTGTTCTGGTTGAGATCTTTGGTTTCTTGATGTTGATTCAAGTCCTGCTTTGTAGATACATGTTACGAGTAGCTTTGATATGACATTGGCAAGCAGAAAACACCTGGGCCAGCAGCAAGGTGTCATCTCTCTTTGACAGGTGATCAGAAGAGCGGCTGCTCGCTCTCGCAGTGCTTCTGAGTAGCATCAACAGCAGCCTTTGATGTGGGTCAGGTTGATTACTGAACATTTTCCAGACATTCCATGTTTGCCATATAATATATGCCTACATTGAACCCCCAAACCACGCCAATGTAGGCATATCTGGCATGCCTGAAGTGTCTGGGTATTCACATCGAATTGACGGAAGTTCTTTTGCGAAACTCTGGCTGTAGCACAGCATCCGAACATATCCCCAGAGTTTTTGGAGGAGGGCGGACGTCCATCACCTTTCCGACGTTTGATCTCTTTTGGTCAGGTCTTGAAAAAAGACGAACATGGGGACGGCACAACGTTTCAGTCACCCGTTGGACGACTTCATGAAACCACCATTCGATTCAAGGTTGCATCGGTTTCGGGATTCACAACGAGGCATCCGTTGTAGCATCCGTTGGATCCTGGTCGTTAGGCCACGCATGCGAAGACAGGGAAGTTCAACGACTGCCGCCACGACGACAAGCGACCCCGACTGACACTATGACCACCACCACCACCACCACGACGACGACGGCGACGGCGACGGAGTCTAGCTACTAGCTACTAGCTACTACTTCTACTTCTGCTGCCACTCTAACACTTCTCTTCTTATTGACTCGACATTGGATCTAAACCCTCGACACTGGAGACCCGGGCCGAATACTCCGTGCCACGCGAAGCGCCACTGCCATTGCGATTCGCGAGGTTGGAGTCGTTCACAGAGAACCTGGGCGATGAAACGGTGTACAATCAACATGACACGATTTCTTTATCATGCTGTACCAGGAGTCGCAAAGGGGTGGTGAGTGGATAATGGGCACACATGCCACGAGAAGACCACAAAAAACCAGCAACGGTTAGCTCTTGTCTTGCTCCTGACCCGTGCCGCATGATCCGCATGCGGCCGAGATGCGGTACCAAAAGGGCTGAACTCAGACCCCAGTAAGCTGAGTGTTGTTTTTGAGCTGTTCCACGTTCTCCTTGTCTTTTGAATGTTTTGAATGTTTGAGCTGTTTGCTGTCCAACCTGTTTTTGGAGTTTCAACATTTCAGGCGTAAAGCGTAAGGACTGCTCGTAAGGGAAGGGTCATAATATTTGAAGCGAACTTAAAATGACACTTTGTCCAACTATACAAGATATATGAAACTATAAATATATGAATGTTTGCGAATTCAACCATATTATCCTTGTTCAAACTCAAACATCGACGCGTCAGCTGATCCGTTTGCCGCTACTGGAACATGTTGGAACATGTTGGAACCTCCAAACCCACTTAGAGCACCTAAGCTGATGTCGAACCCATTGATCATTGATCTTGGCATCCGGTGTTCGTATTCTTTGGTTTAGACATTCACATCCCATTCGCGAACTCTTTGTGTCGTGGATACCAGGGATCCATCCGTGGCGATGATTCTAGTAGATGAGACTGCCATTGACCCACCATGAGAGGATGCGCGTCCGTTGCTGCAAGGCTACCGACTGAGCCGAAGCCTCTGCGTCGAGGCTCAAAAATAAGGGAAACGCCGCGCAAGCGCGGCCGCGGCTCCCGAGGCTCCCGACTGAGCCCAGTTCACGCGGAAGTTGAATCCTGAACACGGAAGGCGGATGAAGGCGGCATGTTCCATGCGAAGCGTATCTCGTGTTGTGGTCGTCGTGCCCTTGACTGTGCGGAAACTCCACGCCAACAGGGGTTTTTGAAAGCTGTTCTTTGCAATTGGCTGAACACTTGATGACTTGGCGACTTTTTTCAAGGCGCTTTTCAAGTGGTCATGAGCATTTGGGATACACCTTGACACAGAAGCTGAATTCTCAGCACTTCTAAAGGAAAGAACTCAGCCACCAGTGCCACCAAACGCCGGTAACCGGGATAGGCCGGTTCCCGCCGGTTCGAAGGCCCTGCGAGCCACCCAGACACACGGTTCTCGAAGCGCACGTGTCCGTGTAATGACATCAGCTCTCTGATTCAAAAGATATATAGAAAAAAAAAGTTTCAAATAGAGATAGAGCTGTTTATCTCTGGTGTTTGTGTTGTGTTTTGTTGTTGTTGTTGCTGTTTATCTCTGATTTAGAAAAATAATTGTTAACTCAGTCAGGCACCAAATTCATCGACCTCTGTCGGTCTCCGAGTCTTTACCCCGACGGCGGGCTCGACCGCCCAACGGTCGCGGTCGCCTAGGGCGTGGAAGGCTCTCCCTTCCAGGCGATCCACAGCATCCGCCACCTTTTTCGCGGAAGAGAACAGTGGCAGCGAGCCAGTAGGATCTTATGAAGTACATATATATAGATATCATAGGATCTAGCCAGTTTCATGGATACTATGGAATATCATAGAGTTTCCAAGTGTTTTGCAGATTGAGAGTAGATGGCACAGACCCCAAGAGGTGGTTAGGTGGTTTATATATGGACCCCCATCTAAAGGACATCATGGCGTGTGTGCCATCTACTCTGAAGCCACTGTATGCAAAATAAACATGCCTTTTCATTTAGAACACTGAAAGGCATGTTCGGCAGGATTTTTTTATAGTTCGATGTTCAGCAGGACTTCATAGATGGTATCACACGGGGTTGATCTCACCAGCACGTGCTGGACTGAAGAGACTGGTATGACCATGAATGGGCTCTCACCGGGATTCAGGACTGATTCAGGATCTCCATTGAGTACTTTAGATATTGGGCATTACCAGGGCCCAGTTGATGATGGTTGGCAAAGGCCTTGTTCCAAAATAGTGATGGCTCGTCCCCAAGACACTGAATCAAGTCAAATTTCAGTGAAAGGTTGTCCGGAGCATGTTGGCTTCCTATGGTTCGAGGGCAAGTTCTCTTGAAGTATCGAAATGGGCACGCCCCCCCCAAAAAAAGTGATGGATGAGAGAAACCAGGGTGTTAGCAGTAAGTAGAATCAACTTCCACCCTCAGCCCTTGCAAAAAAGAGCATGTTTCAGACCAGCCATCCAGGAGAAAAGACCTCCACCAATCCAAGCGGACTCCCATCCTTCTGATCTCCGGAGTCCATTCCTTAAGCAAAAAGATGTGATCCATCATGATCCATCCCTACTACTACCACCACCACCACCACTACTACTACCACCACCACTACTACTACCACCACCACTACTAAATAAATCTATATACTATATACTATACTACTACTGTACTACAAACCCCTTCGTTTCGTCCCACCTGCACACCAGTCTTCCACCAGAACACAAAACCACCACCAGCGCACCGGCGCACGGTCCGCGAACTCGACGAAGGCGAAGCCGCCTGCGTTCGGCGGTGCTCCGCGCTCGGCAGACACGGTCGGAGTGGTCGGTCGGTGTTTCCAAAGGCCATGCGGAGACGTGCCATACATGCTCTCTAGGGCTCGAAGTGGTTTTTGGACACTGTGCCTTTACTTGTGGGATGGTTCCCTATCTTTGAGCTGGCGAACTGGACCACCAATCCACTGGAAGTCCAACAGATCGAATGCCACCCACTCTCATCAAACTCGCTGTCTGTACCGTGGACCGCTGCACCAGCCGGTATGTAGCCCAACAGCTTCAAGTGGAGTGCCAGGGCTGTCAGGGAAATGCCCCGTGTTTTGAACCTCCCTTCACTGGCATGGCCCTCCCAAACTGGATTCGACGCTGCTGTCGGGAGTCCGAAGGGAAAAGGTAGTCAAGAGGTGTGTTTGCCACCCTGAGAGAGAAGAGATGAAGTTGGATCTTTCCCACTGCAGTTCTGTCCAAATCCTACTAGACATATCTAAAGACATTTGCTATTTGCATATCGTTGAAGGGCATCTCCCCAATATTCAACAGTTTAGGTTCTGTTTTACATGGTGGTCCAGCTCATTGCATTCGACCCGATCCCCGCAAAACACCATTCTTGGCGCACCCCGGCGACCCCTCCCGGCGACCCACCGTCGCTCGGAATGCGGCAGCTCACGGAACGGTTCTGGCCACTGAGCTCCCCAACCCGAGCTGGGCAGGTTGGTGCGGCGAACCAACTTGATCTGCGGGGACCGTGGGGGTTTTCCAACGCGGGTTCTTCAGAGAGACCCTCTGGAGGAGCCTTTTTGGGAGGAGGTTTGATAAGGTTTGATGCAGGGGGTGGGGATGTTGAGTCGCTTTGAGCACAAGAGGTGCATGAAATGGATCTTTGGCTGGTTTGGTAGCTCCGAGCTTATTTGTAGCACTTCAGGAGGTCTCTGAAGGTCTTCAGTCAGGGGCAGATTCTTCACATCAAACCGGTCAATTGGCGTTGTGGATTCAACGAGCAAATGACAAACATGATCCGTTGGCAACTGGTGGATGTCGTCTGCAAAAAGTCCTTTTGGAAGTTCATTGGACAAACAATTCACTGCAGCTCTACCTCTGGCAATCACTGAGGATCAGGGGCTAACAGAATGGATTCCAGCTCCATCAGGATACAACAAGGAGGACGAAGAAGAAGTACCGACCACCGACTGCGCGGGGTCCACAGATACAGGAATGTGAGGATCATGGATCGGAATCTCTACCTCTGACATCGCCCCTTTTTCTCCCATCATGGCGCCACTTCCATCGTCCAATGGTTTCGCGGTCCGGTCTCCGGGGTCTCCGGGCATTGGTCACCGAGCCAATGGGACTGAAGCAACGGTGAAGGAACTCCTCGTCCTGCTTGGGTGGTTCGGGCCGCCCAGGGCGGCCCAGGGCCGCCCATAGAGAGGCCAAAGAGAGGGTGAAGTGAGAAATAGGACCCGTGACCTAAATCACATATAAACTTCTTCAACCACTGAACTGCTGGTGATTCTGCAGATGCCGGTTCCGTGCCGGCGACGGGTGGCATAGATATAGGGGGTCCAAAGGCAGCATTCCCCGAAGGCATTCCTCCAAGAAACATAGGTTCCCAAGGAAAGGAGCAATCCAAAAAAAAGAGGTTTGGGGGAATGAGGACGTCCTTTTTGCGACGACTTTGGATGTTAGCTTTAAAAAGTGTGTGAGTGAAGAACTTGTCCAGAGGATAATACTCCCTAAAGTTCGCACAAGTGGAGGCCAAAAATCACTGCTTGAGGACGGCTCCATGATTCCAAAATGATCTTCCCCAAACCAAAACCCAACCCTCTCTCCAACCGCAAGTCATGCCCACAAAAAAAACTGCACGGGCAGAAATCGCTTCAGCTGGGCATCCCTCACCATCCAGTGCTCCACATCGCCCACCCACAAGGTCCGACTGCTGCTCTCCTCGCAAGTCTTCCGCGCGGGTCAACTCTGCGAGGCGAGAGGGGGGAGACCTTCTTCCACTTGGAGACTCGGTCCAGGGGGTGGACTTAGGGCCCTGGCAGAGCTTGGGCTAGAGCGGAAAACTCTGGGAGGCCAAGGTTGACATTCCTCTACTCGATTGACCAACATCGCTCCCCATCCTTGGATGCCATCGCTCTTCCCCCTTCACCTGGGCGTCTTCGGCGTCTTCGGCGTCTTCGGCCAGATCCACGGAGTCGTGGGGATCGACGTCGGGGGCGGTGTGAGGTTCCTCTAGGAGGGGGTGATGTTGGCAATCCATCTGAAAGGCCCAAAGTCTCTGAAAGGCTGTTGCTTTCGGAAGAATATGGCCACCCTGTCAAAACCGGGACACCCTGTTTTTTTTCCCACCAAGAATCAACGGAACAAACCTACCTGGGAGGTCAACCTACCTTGGTTTGGGGCATCGGTCTTGCGCAGCATGTTCAGCGCTTCTTACGCGTCCCTTGCCCTCTGGGCGGGTACGGAAAGAGTGGGGTAGTCGTGTTGTTGACTAACAAAACGGAAAGAAACCAGCGGTGAACGAAGTAAAAGCAGCAACTAGTTTACACAGACGGCACATCTAGAAGGGCCCTGTAGGAATGGACACCCCAGAAAAATCACGGTTAGCTCTCCCTGGACCTTCTTGTGGTACAAATAAATGTGTGCTTTTAAAGTTTTGGTACGCAAAACCACCATGTGGTACGCAAAATTTTTTGCAAGCTCAAAACCCGCACCTTTTTTTAAAAGCATCTTTTGTCACAGAAAAATCATGTTAAGAGAAGTTTGGCAAGACATGGTTCCAAATTCATGTGGAGCATGCTGCAGCCATCCCTTTGGGGTTGTTTTGCTTTGGCCCCAATGCCTGTGAAGCTCGACGAAGGACTGCTTACATGTATGCAAGCATGCGTGACTACATATGCAGCTTATTGTTAATATTAAGTGCTACATTGTGCAGGAGTGACATGGGGGCCAATTCTATCAGCCATAGAGGCGCTCAAGGCTATCTTCATTGGTAAAGAGGTTGGGTGTGGGCTGTAGTTTCCACAATGGCCATGCATGATGATCTTTGTCCTTTGGGAGGTCCATTGCATCATCCTGTGCCCCTGCTGTCAGTTGGTGTACTCATTGGATGTTCATGCATGGAGCCAGTTGGCGAGTACTCCTGCGTGGTATGTGCACAGCCTGGGCCCAAAGCTAGTTCTACAGTTTAGCATGGCACACTTTGAACAGGCATCTCTTCTTGCCACGGCGTGGGCCAACCACGATGTGGTTAGCACAATGGCCCTTCAGCACGCGTTGTGTGTGCTCCCGGTGAAGACCAAACAAAGTGTGGGGAAAAGGCACATGACCATTTCCCGTGGTGACTTGCTTGGAAGTTGCTCATGTTGAAATCATGTTGAAGTCATGCATGACACCCCACACATGGACGCCACTTTTGTGAGACCCTTGAATCTGAGGCGACCTGAAGACAAACGCTGAGGTGGTTGGACTGGCCTGCAAGTATGTTGGCATGCGGCCAAGCTTGGCGATGATGGAACAGGCAACTCATATGTTTTTCAGCTTGGCCTTGCCAAAGAAGCTGGAACTGTGCAGTAACTTGGCAGTCATGCATGGTTTGTAGATGTATGTGCTTAACATGCATGTGTTAACTATACACGAATGATTGTATGATGTCGATGCTAGAATGTAAGGCACGCGCACAAGACTCCATGCAAAAGTGGCCATGCGCTTTGTCTTCGCCTTTTCTCGCTTGGTGAAGTGCCTTTGATGAAGGGGAGCATACTTCTAATCATGCTGTGTCTATTGAAAAGCTTGAAAGGCAAGGCCATGCACCGAGATCCTCAAGAATCCGGCTCATCTATGAGCTAGCCGACATCCCGGTGCCTGGAGCAGGCCATTGCAATATGGAGGTCGCCGGCTCGCTTTAATTTGAATATGTGTTTGTGAGGCGTTGAAGACTCTGAAAGCAGCGGTTCTTCAACGATCTCTGATTCGGTGGCTTGGTTTGTCAGGCGTGAAGCAGGTACTGAACACATGCATGCATGACATTATTCAATTCAGGAAGCTGAGACAACAACGACCGCCTCGACAATCCGAACAAGTGTGGTGGCTGGCGGTGATCCAAAGTTGGTGAGTCCACCATCCGCAGAAACCGTGAAGTCGAGCGTTCCGATTACTCCAACAGAGCTTGAAAGTTCAGTTCACTCAGGCCCAAACCTCATGCATGTAAGCTTTCGTGAATATGCACGCATGCATTTACATGGTAGGCGGGACACCCTCGGTGTTTGTGGCTGCACCTCCTGCAAAAGAGGAGGAAGATCCTCGTTGGGGCCTTGCTTTTTCCCTCACACTGTTTCATGTCAATACTGCATATGTAAATGAGGCCTGGAGATGTTGAAAGAACTGGAGGAGATGGAGAAGCTTATGCTAAAGCAGCTCACTTTGCAAGAGCCAAGGCCATGCATGTGTGCAAAAACTTGAAGCACTACGAGGTATTCATGTCTTAGCCGTGGCAGGCCGATCACTATGCATCGTGAAGTTGGTCCACCTGCTGTCAGTACGGGGCTTGAAGATTTGAAAGTATTTGAAGCACACTAAAATGATGCGTACTAAGACCTAGACAACGTGGAGACACAGCTATGCGCTGATGGTTTGGAATCGGCCGCTCCAGCTGCCTTGCAAACCCATGAGCAGTTGCCCAATGATAAGTTTGATGGGTTGATGATGGGCCCTGATGCTGAAATGGAGCATGAAGAACCACTCCCGCCAGCTTTTGGTGATGCAGGCGTGAAGCCAAAAAACCTTTTGGCCTCCTTTGAGGAAGTCGCAAAGGCTCCAGCTGAGCCTTCTAATGGTGTGCCACCTTCATCTCCGGCATGGACCCCTTGCAAGAACGATGCGTACATCCTGGACTTGGAAGAACCGGAGGTTGCTGTCCTTGAGGAGGCATGCATGGGACTGTCTTCTTGAATTTAACTACATGTTGTCACACGTAGACATGCACATGTGCGCTATCTTACATAAATGGGCCATTGTTCAGGATGATGACTGCGATTCTGACTCAGATGTGGAGTTGATACCTCCGGAGGACAGTTAGCATTGCATGTATTTGTGCATTCATGATTGATTTGCAGCCCCTGCAGGAATGCACACCGTTCTATGACCCGGAGGAATTCTTGATGTATGAACTGCACGAACCAAAATTATCTGCGAAAGCTGCTGTTCCTTGACTTGGCGCAAATCCATTCATGCTATCTCCCAAATCACGGAAGAACTCACGCATGTTCACGTGCATACATACTTCATATCATGAGCTTACCAAGGCCAGTGTCGCACCGGAGGAATGCCGGGCTCTTTTGGAAGAGTCGGCTGAGGCAGCTCGAGAAGCTATGGAACCAGCTAAGAAGGGTAGAAAACCCAAAGCCAAAGCCAAGCCTCAGGAGAAGACCAAGCCGCAGCCCAAGAAAAAGAGCAATGCAGGTAAAGCCAGGGCCTCAAAAGCAAAGGCCAAAGCAGCACCCAAGAGGAAGGTGGACAAGGGCAAAGGTAAGCCAGGCAAGAAAGGTGCTGACAGTAAAGCCCGTACCCTGAACTCCTTGAAGGCATCAGCGTACCACAAGGCTAGAAAGGAGAAGCTGCTGGCTGGATGCACTGATGAGGAAGCCAAGGCTGCAGGTCGAGCAGCCGGGATCTTGGACTTGTGGTCGCATTTGCGCTGAGTCATGCTTGCAGGCACCCACGTTTCTATCTTCACATGAGGCCTCAGCTTTGATTGTGGCCGTGCCATGTCTTGACCTTATCATGCATGCACGTATGTTCAAATTCCAATGTGACTTTTTGCAACAACACCTAGGCTGACGCCCTTGAAATGATTGGGCATGAGGGGTTGGCTTCGTGTGAAGCCGTGATCTTGGGGAATCCAAGCCATATGGGTTGGAGTTGAGCAATTAGCAAAGTGATGAACACTTTGGTGGAACGCCGTGTGAGTCTGAAAAACTGATGTCTTTGTTTTTGAATCTGCACACATGGTTGTGGCGAGTTTTCATGCATGATTATTTCTCAAGCGTCTTCCTGCATTGAGTGAACAATGCTGCAGGGTTTTCCAGCCGTCCAAATGTGGTGATGGGCAATTGCATGGCAAGTCGGTTCCTTGCTAGCGCTTATGGTAATACTTTTTGCTGAGCAATGCATTCAGGGTAAATTGTTATGCGCGTTGACATTCATGGCCTGAGGTTGGTGCTGCTCTTTTTGATGGTTCTCTCAGTTCATGGAATATTCATTGTAGAGCAGCCTCGGGGCTCCATCCTATTTGAATATTATAGGTGGCAGTGGCTTCAGGAGGTTGTAGCCTTTGTTACTCAGATTGCATTTAATAAAAGAAATGAATACATGCATATGAGTGATGACTGGCCTGCAGGGTCTGCGTGCATGATCGTGTCACGAATGTGTCAGGTCCACATGGCTTCATGGTGGATGATGGCCTACGGGGCACCATCACCTAAAAGGCTGCAGGCGAGAAGCAACTGGCCTCTTATTGCAAATCTTGACACAGGCAAGCTGGCCAAATCCGAGATGCAAAGGAAAACCAAAGTAAAGACAACACGTCAGGGCCTCATTACGCACACGCTCATGGAATCAAATGTACATGTGTATATGTCAAGGTCGGACTGGCAAAACTTGGTCTGGAACGTCAGCTTTGAAGAGCACACAGTACCTTCGATGTGTATTTAACATGCCTGCCCGGCCTGCCCATGATGACTTCTAACAGCACTGTTGGCTGCCTAGTTAGGCAGTATCCACCAAAGTTTGGAACCCGCCTGCTGGAGATATGGCTGAATGCTGAAGAGGGTGCCATGCTGTCTTTGAGGACATATGATGTTTCTGTTTCATGATCATTGGCTATAGCCATGCTCTTTGCAGGAGAAAGATTGCTACAGACCCTGGTCTGACAGACCGAGAGCAGTTCAAGAGGATGGAGCTAGGAGATGTTTGGCATGATGCTGAACTTATCTCGGTTTGGACCTACATATACAATCACAGCAAAACTGTGATCCCGGAATCTTGGGAGCCAACGATGGCCCAGTTCAATAAAGAACTGATGGCGCAACTTCCCGATCCAGCGCAGGTGGAGGAGTACAACTCTCTAATTCGGGCAGCGTAGAGCACGCCGATATGGATCCGAATCGGAAATCCGAATTCTGTGCGCCAACAGTCATCCGCAAAATGGTACGCAAAATCGCGCAAAACCCGCGCAAATTTCCGCAAAAAGCCGCAAAAAAA